AGCTTTATATATATATATATATATATATTCTTCGTTTATTCATTTAACCCCCTAACTTTCCTTCCCCAAAAATTTTTGGGATTATTGTTGCGATCCCTTTGTTAACTTATCAGTGCTTTCTGACGCGACTTTCGTAAAATTATTTACATTTTCTAACATAACAAATTTCGTGAATTTTGCTGATATTGATTGATAGTTTTGTTAATTAAATACCTAAAAATAGTCTTACTGCATGCATTGCCGTCTCATTCATTTTCAACTTATTATATAGTTTGAATAACATCATTTTACAGTTTAAGCAAAAAATGATTATTTACTAAAATGTAATTGATTAAGCTTTACGAATTTGCATCGAGCTAAAACCTTTAACAGATTAAATATGAATAGAGCATGATCTCAGATTTTGACATTTAAAGAAGAAAGTAAATTATCAAAATAAACATCAGTATACGAATTTAGAATAATTTTTTAAAGAAACAAACCTTTTTGTAACAATTATAAACTTTTCATGGATTTTTTAAATATTATTTTTCTTTCAAAAGAATTAGCACACTAATTTCCCAATGTCATGTACTATGTAGCCTTTAATGGCAATTTTAATGTGAAAGGAAAATTCAAAATAATAAGGAAAAAAAAATAGCATAATTAACTATAATTGATTTTGTCTTTCCTGCAGATATTATCATTTGAGGATATATGATTCATTTTCTTCAAAAATTGAAAATAAATAAATCTTTTAAATAGCAAAATAATAGGCAATGCCAGAGAGACATGCGATTAGACGAAATTCAAAGAAATAAAGAATCATTTTTCATATGTAACATTGATTGAATTGCAAGACCAGTGAAATAAAGGACTCGCTTTCGGGTAAAGAGATTTGGATCTTCAGAGGCTTAAAAGGGAAGCTGAGAAGATGACCCCAAAAGAGTAAGTGGCGTAAAGTGGTGCATGGATTCTCGAAGTAAACTCCTTGGTTAAATGTCCCCCAAAAAACGATTGTAATTAATGCAGTAAACACTGTA